TAAAATAAAATAAAACAAAAACCATCACATTGAGGCTGGACCAGGCAACCCAACAACAGGAAAGGAGCTCCAAGAGAAGGCACAAGAATCAGAGACCCACTTATTCACACATTTGGGAGTTCCATAAATTACAAGCTGAAAGCTATAGTTTGTATGCAGTAGATCTTGTGCAGGCCTTGTCTCTGTGCTTGCTTCTTGAGTCTCTGTGAATTCCTGTGGTCCTCACTTTGTTCAGAGGGTCTTGTTCTCCTGATGCTCCCTATTCCTTCTGACTCCTATATTCTTTCTGCTTCCTTTTTTAAAGGGGTTTGCTAAGCTCTGAGAGGAGGGATTTGATGGAGACATCCCACATAGAACCGTGTGTTCCAAGATCTCTCGGTCTCTGTCTGTCTGTCTGTCTGTCTGTCTGTCTGTCTGTCTCTCTTTGTGTGTGTGCATTGTATTCGTGTGGTGTGAGTGTGTGTGTGTGTGTGTATGTGTGTCTGTCTGTCTCTGTCTCTCTTTCTGTGTGTGTGTGTGTGTGTGTATGTGTGTCTGTCTGTCTCTGTCTCTCTTTCTTTGTGTGTGTGTGTGTGTGTATTGTATTTGTGTGGTGTGAGTGTGTGTGTGTGTATTGTATTTGTGTGGTGTGAGTGTGTGTGTGTATTGTATTTGTGTGGTGTGAGTGTGTGTGTGTGTATTGTATTTGTGTGGTGTGAGTATGTGTGTGTATTGTATTTGTGTGGTGTGAGTGTGTGTGTGTATTGTATTTGTGTGGTGTGAGTGTGTGTGCTCTCTCTCTCTCTCTCTCTCTCTCTCTCTCTCTCTCTCTCTCTGTGTGTGTGTGTGTGTGTGTGTGTGTGTGTGTGTGATCTCTGGTTGTGGGTTTTTACATCTGTTTTTATCTGCTGCAAGCAGAAGCTTCTCTGACTATGACTGTATAATACACTAAATTTTGCCTCCTTTATGTTGTTTCTCCTGCATTTTGGTCTCAGCTATGAGAAGATCAGTAATATAGGACCCTAAGTGGATCATCCAACCTGGAAGAACCTCCACTGAGAGTAGTGTCTAATGGAGTCTTCTGGATTTCTCTTTATGACATTTGGGCTTTCACAGTAGTAAGATATATTCTGTATTGAATTAAAAGGGGACATTTTGATAGTCACCTCCACCTCCTTTTGGCTTTCTTATTTACTTCATATGAGTCATCAATGTAAGTCAAATTAATTGTCCATATCAGTGGAGTCCACATGCTTGAAATATCTATGTGATGAAGATGGAATAATTTCATTTACTACTTGACTCACATTGAGAGTTTGTATGTGACTGGGGACAGGTGTTTTAATAATCAGCTTGAGAGGAAAATGGTGGGGGGTGTGCAATGAAGTGACCCTGTTAACCTGCTATTTGTGCAGAAGATACTAACAACAGAGGTTTTCATGTTAGTTTAGGGCAATACATAATTGCTTGTGACAAACTTTGAACTGGGAAAGATCATAAAAATATGCCCCTTGAGTGACTGGACAGGAAGGAGAGCATGGCAAAGAGACATTGAAATTAGGAATTAGGTTCTAGGCACTGTCAGGTGTGCACTCCCTCTTGCCATGGGCCTCAGCTTAGACCAGTCCTTGGTTGGCCACTCCCACAAGCTTGCAGCCACTGTTGCCCCAGCACATTTTGCAGGCAGCACAGGTTGTAGATCAAAGGTTTTGTGGTTGGGTTGGTGTCTCACTGGAAGCCTTGCGCGGTTATAGAAGATGACCAGTTTAGCCTCTGTATCCTCAATTACCAGGAGTTACCCTCATACAACATTCCAGGAAGTTTTCACAGCACAAGGCTTCCACATTGAACCTCCAATGTCTCCCAATTACAGTCGTCTCTCCCAGTACTCTCTCCCTCTCCAGCCTGATCCCTACCAGAAGCTAGTTTTCCCAGAGAATCAAACAGGACTGGCGCAAAAGCAAATGGAATGATTTCTACTGGCATCCTGCTATCCTCATAGATGAGTGTCCAGCCCGATCATTATCAGAGAAGACCCCTCCAGCATCTGATGGGAGCAGATATAGAGACCTATAGGTGATCATTAGGCAGAGCTCAGGGAACTCCACAGAAGAGGGGGAAGAAGGATTGTAGGAGCCAGAGGGGTCAACTATATGGCCTGTGTAATAAATTAAGCAGGATTCATAGTGGCTTGCAGAGACTAAAGTAGCAATCATGAAGCCTGCATAGGTCTGCCCTGTGTCCTCTGCATGTAAGCTGTGGTTGTTTAGCTTGGGGTTTTTGTGGGACTCCTAACAGTGGGAGTGGGCATGTGTCTCATTCCTTTGCCTGCTGTTGGGACCTTTTCTTCCTACTGAGCTGCCTCTTCTAGCCTTGATATAAACATTTGTGGTTAGTCTTATTGCATCTTGTTATACTGTGTTGATAGACATCCTTGCAGGTCTGCTGTTTTCTGATGGAGACAGACAGAAGACAGGTGGATCTTGGGGAGAGGGGAGGTAGAGGACAGAACTGGGAGGAGTGGAGGGAGGGGAGGCTGCACTCAAGATGTATTGTATGAGAGAAGACTAATTTTTTTAAAAAGAAAAATATAATTAGGGTCTACTGGGTATGTGATAAACCTTTCTTTGATTTTAACTCAGGAAATGTGTCTACATTTCTTTCTGTTGGTTTTGTTCTCCATTGGCTATTTCTGGGACTTGTGAAGAACATCAGAACTCTAAGTATTTGTGGTCAATGAGAGGCAAAAATATAACGTATGGAGAAACACCCACAGAAAGACATGTGAGAATATTCATTCACATGCTGCTTTGCAATTTTTCCACCAATGACAGGCCATATACAGTGCTCAACTCATAAGATTAAGACAGAGCTGAGAAATTTCCATTGCCTAGCAGAGTCACAGCTATCCTATCATGATGGCTTGACACACATCACTCACAAGTTCCTGGGGAATCTGCTATAAACCCACTGTGCTTCTACTCTCAAATGCACAGTACATGCAATCATGTGTAAATACACAGTAGCTGATAGAGATAACTATTATTAGCTTATGGATTTACTACACCTTTTTATCACTTCAAAGTTTAGTTCTTCAACTTAGAAAATGCAAATTTACTGTGAGACATTGTGCCATGTTTTGTTGTCAGCAACCTCATTCATCTTGTGTGTACTGTATTTCTTGATTGAATCTGGATGCTCTCTCTAGTGACTGACCAGAGTCCCTGGGCTCCAGTAAGCACATTTAGGATGCTTGCACTACAGCAAGGTTCCTAGCCCATGTATGCATCATTTCAAGGCACAAAGCTATATTACAGAAATAAGACAAGAGAGTGTGGATGTGTATGTAAGAAGCTAGACACGCATAAGTAAGAAACATCAAATTCCTTTCTCCATACACCTTGAAGATCCTTCTATTTCATTTTGGTTTATGTATCTGCTGACATTTTAGAAATCAAAGCCAAAAGCAATTCATCCAAGAAGCAGCTCAAGGCAGATACCTGTTTCCAAACTCAAACTTGTGTTTTAATCTTTAGTCAAGAAAGAGTGGCATATAGTGACTACAGCTAGACAATGATTTTACTGCAACCTTAGAGTCAGAATAACCTAGGTATTTTGTTGAGATTTCATTTCCTTTGGATCCTTGGTCAGCACAATCCTGTTCTCAACTTACACCTGAGGTGAAACAAATAGGCATTCATTTTGAGTTGGCCTCATAAAATTCCTAATGTTTAGTCTGGATCTATAACTAAATCCTACGTACAAATTTTCCATTTCATGAAGGCTGAGAAAGAAATGTTAATAAAAAACAGGCAGAGACAATACATGGCATAGTTTTCATTCTAGACATTGCTATTATATGTTGTGAGCTGATTTCAGATGATGATGAAGGAAAGTGTTTCTTGGGTTGCTCCCATCTGTCTTCTTAAGCTCTTTAGCTTTCCTGTGCTACATACAGGCAAATATTTACCCTGTATGTCTCTTTTCTCCCCTCTAGCCCCAAAGGTGACTTCTTTGTAGGCATTGCCTGGTAGTTAATGACTGGCTACTTTAAGGGCCTTGGGCTTTGCCTCTGGCCCTTAACCAGCATCTCGTTAACTGGCAAGATGTGTTTCCCCTTTGTTTCTTACTTTTTTATATTCTTAATAGAACAGAAGGTACCTTGGCAGAGGCAGACAATGTTACCCTTTCAGCATCTCATTTGTAAATAACCCTGTTATGAGTAATAGGAAGTGATCCAGCTGGTTGTAAAAAGACACACGTTTAATGGGCAACTCCTGGTGGACTAATGGTTTTGCTGGAAAAAACATTGCACCTGCAGGACACATTGCTCCTGTGTTTGTTCTGAACATAATGAGCCTGCGTTCAGGCAGAGATGTGCACACGCCTCTCTGGGAGTTATAAACCTTGAAATATACAAAGGGAAAATTTTGAAAAACAAATCTAGCACATTTTTCTCCCTAGAGGCAAGCACTATTCTGTCAGAGCATCATTCTTTCTTACAGTTCAGTAATTCCAGGTGCTGGCTAGAGTGCTTTTATACACAGTGTAATACCTCTTTAAAAATTTACGCAGGGCCCATACAATTTATGAATATAGTGTGGGAATATGGCCATTGTTACCTTTTATAGTCATTACCTTTCTGCCTTTCTCTGACACTTGAAGAGTATATTGAATATCACAGCTTATGGCATTTATTTAATCAAAATTCAGTTGCTTTTTAATGGGAAGTCCTAATGTTTTATGCTTATTTAATGCAACTGAATAAATGTTTCTGGGGCAATTACCACAGTGACGTATTTATTTCATATAGAGCTAATATCCTTGAAGCCAGGTTCTATGTCTATATTGTTATCTTATTGTCACATCACAGCTCTGTGACTGCTGTCAGCTACTATAACATGGTAGTTAAGGACACTAGTGCAATTGATAAAAATGACAGAATCTCTAGTTTGGTGGCTTGAGAAAGTAACAGCTTTTGTGTGTCTTGTTTTTTGTTTTGTTTTGTTTTACTTGTAGATTTTGAGAAGTTACAGCATCTACCTCAAGATCACATGAGTAGGAAGGAAGCTTCCAGGTGAGAGTTCTGGTTTGATTTCTCCATGACCTATGATTTTGTATCTTTAGCAGTATGGTCTCATCAAGTTCTAGGTTACAAAGAACAATTGCAACAGCCAGCAATCTACTTATACCTGTTACTGGGCTTTCTGCTTGGTAGATTTTAAAGAGTTATTGGCCTTATCATATGAAGGATAAGTTTATACTGAATATCTGATTTTTCTCATCCTAATTCCTTTCTTTGACAATTCCTGACAAACAATCACAGTTGAAAGTTTCCTGGAAAACAAATGGGTTCCTAAAAACAGACTCTATCATCATCATACATACTATTATAAAAATCAAAATTCATTCATTGTAATGAAGATACTGAGCTTCATTGAGAATTTTGCAGTAATTTTAAGTTAAGCATCTTGAAGATTGCATGGCTGATCTCTCGCAACTTCCATACCCGTGTACTCAATGAATGACATTTGATCCGTTATCTACCAGAATTAAGACTTTTCACACCTCTGAAATCTCTGTAAATCTAAGATGAAAACTAGTCTTTAGGGGCTTACTCCAATCTTAGATCATTTTGCTTGGGCATTTGGGGGAAAGAAAATGATTTGGAGTGATAAAAAAAAAACAAATTCTTTCATGACAATGTAGGTGGTAATCTTGTCTAGAAAAATGAATTGTGGCTAAGATTGATCTGTGGTAAGTATTTCAAGGACCTAATCTCTGGGGCTTTTCTTGTAGCCACTGTTGCTAGTGTTTTGCTCTTGCTGTTGGCCATGGCCCTTCCTTCCCCAAAGGATGAATTCCTTGCTGTTTTTCTGGAACTTAAATTTCAGATGTAGTTATAATTGTACTCTTTATTTTATACTTTCTTTTGTTCTGTCTCATTAATTCAAATCTTGATGTTAAATTTGTCCTAAGACACCTGTCTTAGTCCCCTTATCATTGGTCTATTTAGTATGTTTCCTTATAATTGTAAAAACTTTCTGGAGTGTTAGTGTATATTTTAAATTTAAGGAAGTCCACATATTTTAATGGAAATATATATTATGCTTATTTCTATTTTTCATAATCAAATAACAGATATAAAGGTACTATTTCAAGATTATCCTTCCAACAGTTTCAGAATTTCAAATTTAGGACTATAAAGCATGCTGCATTTGAAGGGTCACAGTTATAATCTTAGCTCACATTGTGTGCCTTTGTGCCAAAAGATAATTTTATTTCCATTTAAACTACAGTGTTAAGAACTACAAGGTAAATTGTTTACTCACAATAGTTATATGTTAATTATAGACAGCAGTAGAGTGCCAAACTGAAGAAAAGACTGATTCATGGCAAAAGGCGACTGAAAATATGAAAAGGAATGCAGCGTCCACGTCTTCAAATGTTCCCCATTTAGTTAATTTATCATTAGAAAAAAACACAAATAAAACACAGCCAGCTTTGCCTAATGGACATCGTGATAATAAATTAATTCTTACTGAGTGTATTTTATTCTGTCATTTTCAGAGGGAAATGCACCAACCCAAGATTCTTAAATAACCATAATTAGATTACTTTCTCCACCTTTCTAACAAGCCCTTTGAAACAGAGGCCTTCAGAAGTGATGGGAATGGGGCAGAGGCATGGTCCCCAAAGAGAAGGCTCTCTCTAGGTGCCTTTTTACAAGAGTTCAGGGGAACTGGGTAATTGGCACAAAGCCACATGATTCAGGAAGTTGCTGTGATCACTCCTGGCTCCTCAAACAAACACTTTTCTTTCTCCTCATTGGGACAAACTGAAATTTCCAACAGTGGTGAACAAGACCTCTTTCATCCCTGAGGCTTTGCCTAGGCAAAGAGCCAGTACTCCTGACATGACTGAGGCCTCTTGTCTGATGTCCCCCAGTTGCTGGATGAAACTCTGCTTTGAAATAACTGCAAGAAGCAGGATAAGAAGTGCCAGTGCTGGGCCTGTCAGAGGGAGAGTTGTTTTTTTCTTTTTTTCCACCTCTCTGTGCTGAATACCTGAACTTTTTTTGCAAAGAGAACAAGGGTTTTCTGCTCACTGGGAGGGTGGATGTGGGGATTTCGCCATCATACTTGTGAGATGCCCTCAGTGTGGCCCTGTCCAAGAATACCACAGATGGAGGATGGGGCTTTCATCACTGTGTTAATTGGGGATCAGGTGGTGTGGTTCCTGAAGGAGGCAAACATAAAAATCAGTGTCCATCGAAGCTGTCAGCAAGGCATATATGCAACCTTCAGCTTTGACCTTGCATGAAAACAGCATTGACTCTATTTCAAGATGTATTAGAAAATTAAGATCTCTGAGCCTAGTGCCTTGTAAGTCGGATATCATTTTTTTTTAAAACCTTCTTTATGGGTGCTCTGCCTCCCCCAACACATGAATATTTTCTCCCAACTATATGGCAAAAGCACATTAAAGCTTCGGGGAGTTGCTCTTATGTGATCCCAATTATAAGATGATCATCTTCTTTACAGTTTGCTTTTGTTTTCCTAATTATAATAAACAGCAAGCAAGCCTGTTCAAATTTATCTTAATAAATACATTTAACCCATAGCCATTTCTATATGGATTTGGGCCAGTACTTTGATAGCTTAGATGTCCAAGAGCCAGCCACGAGTGCTTTGGTCTTGGTAATTATTGTCCACACTGTCTGAATTTGTTATGTAATTACTTAATATTCTGTTTCATTTTGACTGTTTACACTTGGCCTTTGAGCACTTGGCATTTCTCTCACAGGAAAGAATTAACAAACACATCCCTTGGCTGATAAATGTCCCAGCACATGACGGTGTGAATCCTAATTAGACAATCTCACATCTCTAGTACATTAGGGTCAAGAGCTCCCAAGTATCAGAACAGTGTGTTTATCTTATTAATATATTCAGCTTTGGAATTGATTATTGTAATAATAACCTTTTTGTAAAAAAAATAGGGCAATTAAATTCCCAGGGTTTCCTTTTTATGTTGTGTAAATATTATTTTTTTTAAAAATGGAAGTTAATTTAAAATGAATCTTTTGGGGCCTTGGTTTTCTAAAACATGTGGCTCTAAAAGAGGCAGTTCTATGGGAAAGGAATAGTGTCAGAATTGCTACATTGTAAAATGAGGTACGTCAAGGCTTATGTTAGTGGGAAATCAGCTTTGTTATAAACACCCCTATCCCTCAGAGTATTGTCTTGATATTGTCTTTCCTTTCTCTGGACTGCAGATTCTCTCTTTCCTTTCTTCCTTTTGTCCTTCCTTGCTTTCCCTCCCTCCCTCCC